TTAAATTCCCTGTATTTCCTGTGGAGATCCTTCCCTGGGTTTTGAATCCAGGGTCCAGTGCAGGAGGACCTCAAAGGGGTGACCAGGTTCAGAGTAAAGTGCAACCCATGCAGTTCCTCACATTGCATGTGGACACTGAAATCTTCAGCTCTCCTTTAGTGAGAACATGATGGCTGTTACCGTGAATATATCCCTTGAAAGCACACTTCCAAACAAAAATGACTTCTTTCAAATATGCAGTTATGTGCTCTCAGCATCTACAACAGAAGCTCTCCCCTGGTAAGACTGAGCAGGCTCAAAACATTTCAGATTCACAGCCATGATGCTGGGAAGAGAGAGCAGTGACCCCAAACCAGGTCTCTTTGAGCCTGGAGCAGACACTCGTTCTCCAGACATGTTGCCTAATAATATTATCTCTCATGGGCTGTGGTGCCTCCCTAAAATTCACTCCAATTAATTTTTTCCTGAAACAGCTCATCTAAAAAGACGCCAGATGATGTCAGAGATGCAGCCTGAACATTTGTCCACACTGTGTGTGCTATTGTGCCGAACATTTTTTCTGGGCAGAGAAATCCACTCTGGTTCTGTCATCATTCATGCAAGGTGTCCAGCACACCTGCAGGGTGTACTTTTATGGGCTAGAGAAACTTTGAAGGAATATATTGAAGAGCCTGAAGCTAGTGTAAAAGCTAAGCATATGGCAGGCAGCAAGCAGGATGCTTTACCATGGAACAAGTTTGTGAAAATCAGTGATTTCAAGCGAAGAAAGAGAGGGCAGGGAAATATTTTTACCTCTGGGACCCAGCTGGTGGTCCCTGTAGATGTCTCTTGGCATTAACAAATGTTTCCCTTATTTTCTCTCATAGTGGTCATAACTGCATTCTTTACTCCTCCTTTTCCCATGTGAAAATGTTACTTAAAATGACACTCAATTCTCCATGGAAATACTGAAAATACAGGTGCCAGAAAATGAGATATTTTCATTAGCAGTCAGTGTAGCCTTCATACTAAATCGACTTTCATAGTTACTTTACCCCATATAATTACACAGCAAAGCCCTGTTTAACATCTCACTACATAATGGAAACTTTCTATTTCAAATCAAATTAATGTTAAGAGTTACTCAGAGATTTCAAGAGATAATAGCTGTAATTAAGGTATTTCTAGCGATGGGTTCCTATTATAATGTGGCAGAAGATTCTCTGATAGTCTTGCTGACTGCATTAGTCACAATTGTTTTCATTAATATTGACACTATTCTCTTACCAGACAAACAGAAAAGGAAATTAATCAAAATGCTGTGCTAGTTTCCTATGCTCTGAACCCCTCTTTTGGACTGATGCTCAATTCTTAGCTTTTGGTTGGAATAAAGAGTAGTTTTTGTTAGATGTGCAGGCAGCTTCACACCTGTTATTTAAATCAAGATTGTGAGAACAAAGAGAGATAATTATTTTTTGAAAATCTGAAAATAAATCACTGATGAAATTTAAATGCTACAATTCCTAAACATCTCATTTGTTTCCCATTTGTCAATGATGTGAGATTGCTGGAGTGTGTTCACACTGGGGAATGAGGTGAGCATGTATACATATTCATTATCTTGTGGAAAAAATTGCACAGGCCAAGGTACAACTGGCACGTGAGTCATTTGGGGCTATGAGGCTGACTCAGGAAAATGGGGGGCTCCAGTGGCAAGTTGCCATGATGGTGGTTTGGGACAAGCAAAGAGTGTGTTGAATTTCAAAATGATGGAAGAAAAGAGACCTTCATTTCCAGTAGAACCAATGAAGTTAAACAAGGGATGGATTTGACTTTAAAAGCCCTATAAATGTTAATTTTTCATGGGTATCACTCCTACACAGTCAATTGAAGCTGTCAGAATCAGCTTCTCCTGAATGAAGGTGTCGTGTCAAGTCATCCAGATAAAAGTTATGTCAAGTGCCAAAAATGAGAAGGGCCAAGACAAGCAGGGAGCATGACAAGAGTGCAGGGCACAACGCACAGTGAAAAGGGAAGCAAAGGAACAGCTTTGTTCTGAGGAAATTCATACATTGACTTTCAGATCCAGGAGTTTGCCAGTTAAACAAGCAAAGGAAGAAAACCAACCATAAAAATGCACATTTGGGAGCAACATGCATATTGACCTCTACACCTGTGGCTGCTAAATGTGCTTTGGAAATACATGTATGAAATATGAGTCAGTTAAAAGTTTATTTCAGCAGATTTGCATACTATGAAGAGATGGAAAACTGTGAATCCCTTAACTCCAGTTTTCTAAAGAAAAACATGAAAATACCAAGGGAAAACTATATTTGCAAAGATTTTTATTCACTTTCTGCTTTCAAATACTAGTTATCACAATACAGCCTCCTAAAAATGAGTGATAACAATAGAAATTGTTGCTGTTTTCATAAATCTAATGCAAAACAAATATTTTTGTGTAATCCTTCAAATGTGAAAAATTATCTTGTGTTTCATACATAGGAGTACATAGAAGTACCCTTTGAATCTGCAAAATGGAAAACAGCTATACTTTATCAGATGCATTGCCCAGCTTTATATCTACAGGAACCTAAAAGGTTGATGTTACCAGAGCCTGAGACCAAAGGACCTGGTAGATCATTCATTATTGAATTGAAAATAATATTTAAAAAAACATCAACAACAAAAAAAAAAAGCTCTGCAAGGAAAAAAAATCTTCTCTGCAAGAAGTTTCAAAATGCCTGTTTCCTGCCTTAATGTTGGCTTTCAGAGGCTCCAAGTTTATAAAACGATGTCCCACCAGTGATTGCCTCACTGACCTTTGTAATGTGGGCTCAAATCCCATTGCACCTGACATTTTGTTTTGCTTAGGGGGTATCTGCAGCTCACTGAGGCTGTAGTCCCACTGGGATATGGCTCTCCCTTATGGTCCTTGCAAACAAGACAGCATGCATATCTATTTTCCTGCTCTCTGGTTTCTGGCCAGGACACAATAAAAAAATACAAACCCTTGTGGGAATGGAAAACTAATGGAAAAATCATAAACCCTCATTCTCTGAGTCCTATATATAACCTTTTAATCCATGATTACAAATTACTTCTTGCTAATGTTTTGTAAAATGCTCCTTTAAACTCACTTACTGGAGGCTATGCACTTACTTATTAAAAGCTAGTAAAAGCTTATTAAAAGCTAGTTGTGTGAAGTCTTTGTCAAAATCAGTATTTAAAAAAATAAATCCCAGACTTGAACAAAAGAAGAAAAATACATTGTGACACTGACATCTCTTATTCATTACTGCTCAGTGTCTGTTGAAAAAAACTGTTGGCTGTGGAGGATGTGAAAAGCATAGGGTTTCAATAAACAGGAAGTAGTTTATAATTCTTGAAATGAGAGCTGTGGTTGTATAAAGTCTTTTAAAATAATTTTCCATTTAGGTTGAGAGTTGCTGTAGTTTTGGTGAGGCAGGACAGGATATGCTTCAATTTATATATACTTCAATAAATAAGAAAAAGTTCTATTGATATGAGTAGGATTAAACAGAAGGGAAACAGAAAATAGACCTGACATCACTGGGAAATACATAGAGCAAAAAGACCCTACATCTATATATGGAAATATATCAAAGGGGATAGTACAGAAATGTCTCCCACGTCGAAAAGAAAAAAAGCCTGTAGTTTAAGAAAATAATAATAACAATTAGAATGATATAAAGACTGAAGGAAGGGAGAGAAACATTAGAATATACTTAAAGGCATAACTCTTTATGCTGATCAGTCACGTCCTACATCCTATTTGGACAACAATAGTTGTTGTACCCTGCTAAGTCTGTTACAAGTTGTTCAAAGATGGTGATAAAGCATGTCTGACAAACAGCAGTGTGAGGGATTTCTCTGCTGGTGGTCCTGCACTCCTGACCACAGCTCTTCCCTTAGAGTAATGTGAGCATCCATGAGTAAAACTGCACCCCTCCTGGCTTGAGGAGTTAATGCTAAGGCCTGAATCCTTGTTTATAGTTTTTTTGAACCATTGTAAAGCTCTGTTATTGTGATTGTGATTTGTGTTGCTGCCAGGGTTATAAAAAGCAGTTTCAGAATTTAAAACCCTAGCTCCGTGCTGGGGTTAAACAAGCACTTAGCACGTGTTTGATCTGTGAGATTATCATCAATGGAAACTGAAAATGAGCATAAGTTGAGTATGTTCTTAAGAGCTTTATGCAATCCGTGTTTACATCTCCATTCATGTTGACTGAAGGCAATTTCTGATTAATTTTTACAAAACTGAGTGTAATGGGAATGTTTCACTGTGCTTCCTGGTGCAGAAAACATAACCAGAAAGACCCTAGTAATGTCAAGTGTGGGTCTGTCATATGTAGGAGACAGAAATTGTGAAACGTGAGGAATTTTTGCCAACAACCCCTCCTCCAAAATTTTCTCTTGGGAAATGAAAAAAGAATTATACAGGCATGATAGCATAGGCATGACTCTTTCTTAATATTCAGCCAAATCCTTTGCAATAGGGAAATAAGTGGCATAAATTATGCTGTTGCCATTGGGCTCTGGGACTACACTCATGGTCCAGTGAAGTTTTAAGTTCAACAAGAGTTACAAGTTACTACCAACTCTAACAGATTTGGAAAAAACCCAAGCACGTTTAAGAACTTTCCTCTCATGAGGCTTCTGTCCTTCCAGTTTTCCAGTTTATTGTAACCTTGTAGGTTATTTCAATTTGGGTCAGAAAAGTAGTGTCCTCCAGAAGTGATGTTAGTCTGTGGCTTCATCCTGAAGGTGACATGTGAGGGTGACACACAAACCACACATGGTGTGTGTGGTTTCCCCATGGGAAGGATCTACCATGTTTCATTGCAGATTTAAACCTCACAACTGACAGGCATCACAAAACCTCTTACCATTTGATGCATGTTACATAAAAGGCTACTATGTGCAGTCTGCCAGCCTGTGGCAGATGGCTTTCTGTACATAACACATAAACTTTGATGTTACTGAATTTCTGTAATTGCCCTTTTATTTCTGCACAAATACACTGTCATCCATCCAGTATTTTATATGCACAAAGCACAATGTTCACCAAAGTAATGGCTTCACACATACAAAGTGACCATCAGAAACACTTAGTAGCTGCATTCTGAGAGCACTGAGGGGAGGTTTTTAAAGAGATGCTTGTTCCTATCCTAGGAGAGTGAGCAGGACAGTGTTTCATGAGAGCAGAAGAACAGCAACCTCTCTTCTGAGCAGCTCATCTGCTGGTAGGCAGAGTAATTGCTAAGGGGACCCACAAGAGGCAGCAGCAAGGGAACATCACAAAGGAGGTGGTGGAGTGAGGAGGCCCCCGTGCAAATCCCACTCTCCAGTCTGGCAGCACGGTGCCTCAGCTCCCCACCACTCCCACAGCAGCACAGAGCACACTTCTACGAGGAGCAGCAGGCAAATATTTCAAGGGAAACACAACCACAAGCACTTTCTCGGCTATGGGTTAATTTTCAGCCCGAGACACAAAGCTAGTTCAGATTTCTGGATTTTCCCATCCTTGTTCACATCACAGTGGTTGAGCAGGATCTGGCGGAACTTGTCCAGGTCCACCCCGCTAATGCTGGGCTGCAGGCAAAGAGAAAAAGAGTGCTGAGATAGAAAATGGCTCTGGATTTCCCCAGCTTGTAAAGCAGCCCACCATGCAGCAACTGGGAATCTACCCAAGGAAGAATGGCCAAAAGGCCCACATCATCTCATATGTCGTGGGGAAGTAAACACAAGGTGAGGAGAGAGTGCCCTTCAATAGCAAAAGGTGCATGGAACTGTAAGTGACCGTATAGAAATGCACCATGACTTTTGTGCTCATCAGTATCTGATCCATATAAAAGAAAACTTCAGAAAGTTGTGCAATGCAGATCTCTGCTCTACCAGACCTGTCCTTTCTTCTGGTTTCCTCTCTCAAACTGCTGTGCAAGGACTAATGTGACATTTCTGTCAGCATACTCCTATTTTACAGGCTAGACACATTTTACAGGCTACACAGTCTCTGTATGCTCCTAGTGCTGTACTGCCTGCTCTGCTTCCCATTCTCAGTAGGGGATCAAATTCACATGCACAGCTTGTGATGTCCAAGGGCAATGCTGATGAAGGCCCTTAGGCAAAGTACAAATTTCTCTCCTTTACACACACTCACACACAGCACAAATCCAGCCTCCTGCCCATCCCCACACCCTTCCCTGCACACTACATGGCCAGAACACACACACACACATACACAGACACAGCCATCAGCACGCAGCTGCTATTCTCTGCTCTCTCCTGAATGGACATGGCAGCACAGATATCCCTGTGCCAGGTCACACTGTGGGAAAATGCAACAGCTCAGGCTCAGAGGAAACTAAAGATCACATTCTGTTTGGGTCAAAAGCCCTGTCTTGGACTGTGTCTGGAAACTCAAGATAATCCAATGAAGACAGACTCTTCTATCCATCAGGAGCTGAAGAGACACCCTGGGTAGGGTATTCTTGATTGCAGAAAGACCTCAAGTAATTTTCAATTGTAGTCCTGAGATGAACTAATGAACCATGAGGTCATTCTGGGGAGAACCACATCCACAAGGAAAACAGAAGAAAGAAATTGTGATGACCCGTCCATATTACGTCATGCTGTAACATCTGCCTAATCTGAAGTATGAACTAGAATGGACCTTTCAAAAATAGAGTTGCTGAGGGAAGCTGTAATAATTTGTGATGTAGAATTTCTGTGATACAGTGAAATGCTCTACAGTATATATACTGAAATGATGACATTCCCTTCTGCTGATGATCAAACTAAAATTTGAGTCTATGTTCTTACTACTGTCTCTGTGTACATAGCCTTTCCTTTCCAAAAGCACTGATCTTTAAGAAATACAGAATATTAACAGAGCCATGAAGATACCTTGACCAGTTCCATCATGTCCTTGACAAACCCATCCACTTCTGGGCCTTCAAGTGCTCCTGTTTTACTCTGAAAGAAGGAATAAACATCAAAACTCTTCAATGAGTCAAAACCACTACAGTGGTTACTGGTCAGTACCACCACCTGGTCACCACGCTTTGTAGCATAAAGTTCACAGAATCATGAAATGGTTTGGGTTGGAAGGGACATTAAAGATCATCCAATTCCAACCTTTCCACCATGGCCAGGGACACCTTCCACTAGCCCAGACTGCTCAGTGCCCCCATCCAACCTGGCCTTGAACATTTCCAGGGTTGGGAAATCCACAGTTTCTCTGGGCAAACCTGTTCCAGTGCTTCACTACCCTCACGGTAAAGAATTTCTTCTTAATATCTAATATCTATGATCCCTTTGTTTTTCCCAAATGACCTCTTCCCACCAAATGGGAGCAATGCCTCCCACCACCCTGAGTGAGTTGTGTGACAGAAGCAGCACTGAATTGCTGATGTCTAACAGGCAGTTAAACGGTTGTGTCTGTCCTGAGCCAGACTCCCAGAACAGCCATGGGTTCGGTGTCAGAAGAGGGTTTATTTTTCAGCGTGGTGGTGATGCAGGTCCTGAACTGCCAGAGACTGCCTCCCTTGCATCTCCTGCAGGAAAACTGTTAATGAATGCAGCAGCACTGGCTGTGGCAATGGAGAAAGTCAAAACGGGTCCTTGACACAAGACCTCTGAGCATTGCTCCTCTCTGTCCCTACTTTATCCCTCCCAGTCTGGAATCTGGGCTCATGGGCCATGGGCTTGGGCTGCCACCCCTCAGTGCCACTCCTCAGCGACTCCAGCAGCACTCAACAGGAGGAAGAAGTCTCAGCAGCACATGCTAAATCTGTCATTTACAAACCACAAGGGAATGAACTGACTCATGGGACTCACAACGTCGTAGTGTGCAAAGATCTTCTCAAAATCTCGCCTCCTTTCTTCTTGGCTGCAAGCCTGCATACAGAGAGGACAAACAAATGAAAAATAAAAGTAAAATTTTCAAGCTTAGGCCCAGGCCATCTTAGCTGAGAGAGATAGGATCAATGTATCAAAAATTAGTGCTACTTACATCCATCTTAAATTGTAGAAGGAAATTTTCCTGGAGTGCCAGAATCCTGAATGGAGAGATTTAAATTATGATCTTTTTGCTTTATCATCTGCACATGAACTATTCTGAGCTCTCCTTGTTCGCAAAGCAAAGGGATGTTAGATTAAAGGCATATAAAAGAGAAAATTGCCTGTGGGGTTATTTACAGAGGGCAGTTGTGGGAACACATGCTTTCCTCCCTGTCTGATGGGGCACAGAGGGTGCCCTTTGGTTCACCACAGACATGGCTATTAGCACCATTGCTTCTCCCAGAGCATTTCTGATGATCCTGCACAACAGAGCGTATCAGCTTCCGAAGCAGGAGCTACCAGACAATCATTCCTTGTAACTGGATTGCTGTGCTGCATTAAAGAAAGTGATTTATGGCTCTCTCTTGGAGGGAGATTTGGTAGTTGTAAAAGTAGAGGACAAAGTAATCCTGGCCTATGCACCAAGACTGCCAGAATTCCTCTCTTCATCTCCTAAAGCCTGTCAAGCACTGATAAACTCTTTTCTCTCTCCAACTGCTCTGCTAACCCTGAGGTTTTTAGAGCCCATGGCACAGGGCATGCTGAGCTGTGTCCGTACACGGACGGATTTGGAGTCTGACAAATGTTCTCAGATGGGAGGAGAGCCTCAGATGGCCTGGTTCCCAAAAGGGAACTGTATTTAAGAGAAAATTGTAACAGCAACGTCCTTTAGATATTCTTCATCCTGCCTCAGATTCTCCTCATATATTTCATGGTCAAAGGGAACTGCTATATGCACTGCAGTTCTTCGTGCGGCATTTGTCAGGATCTGAAGCAGAGAGTAACACTGGCAAACCAGCACCTCTGTCCCCTCATCCTCTAAACTGGTCTTTTAAGACTGTATCTGCTTATTTAAAGTCCCATCCACATATGCACATAGTTTTCCAGAGAGAGGCATACTCTCTATGCCTAGGCACTGAAAATTATCTCAAAGCCTCTGAGGTATCAAGGACGGAAAAGAGACAGAGGCCCATGGCTGAGTCCTCAGCTTCATTCACAGGCATCTTACCTTGGCTCTTCAAATTCTTTCCTACTGCCACTGTCAGACTCTTTTGTGGTGGCACTTTAATTATTCAAAATGCAGTAAAAATTATTTGCAATCCCTGCTGCACATAATGATGAAAAATAAATGCACGTCTATGACCCTGTTGAAAGGACTGACATCCTTCTTTTGAAGAAACAGAGCCACTGGTTGCTTTGCCACCTCCTGGGAAGCACCTCACATTATACCAGAGCACACTGATGTTGTACAGACAGATCCTGGCATTGCTCTATGACTGGCTCTAGATTCTCAGATTATTGCAATGGGGACCATGCATTGGAGAGGTGGGATCCTCTCCAGAGCAGTTCTAACTCAAAAGAAGGTAGAATTCAACTGCACATCCCTAGAGGGAGAGCATCACCTTGCGTGGATCTACCATTGTGAGCTGAAACACCCCATCAACATTATTAAATCCTACCTTGCAAGGTCATTCAGGTCCAGTCGTCCATCTTTGTTTTTGTCAAAGATTTTCATCTATAAATCAAGAAGACAGAGATATAATAGATGGGCCATGAGGAGAACACGCATATAAAAAAGTCAATAGATATTTTGCTCTGCCCTGTGCTCTTCCCTCTGCTTGCTCAGGATGCCTGCCCAAACCCTGGGCAGCATGGCATCCTGTGCTAGCACCAAGTGCAAGGGTGCAAGGGAGTAGCAAAACTCACCAGCTTTCTGGCAGCAACAACCCAAAGCAATCAAATACCAGTACCGCTCCCTGGTACTGGGCATAATGCAGGGATAAATTTTACATGGGGATAAAGCACGTCTGCAGAAAAGACCTTCAGAAACTAAATACTGACATGGCCCTGAAAAAAAAAAAAAAGCCAGAAAAAGGGGGACATTTCTAAGCACTTCCATCTGGACTCCATCCTTATCTTTGACTGTTGCTGTGGCTTCTGAGAAGCTGAGGTGCAAATGCCACCTTCTAATCAGCACTCAGGTCAGGATTTTACACCACTAAAGCTGTGGGGCTTGCTTGGCTCAAGGCCTGCTGCTAGAATGCATTAAAACTTGGAAGAAGGTTCAGGCTGTCAACATCAAGAGGTTAAACGTGAATTCAAAACTTTTCCTTTTCTTTTCCTGATTAGCATCATTTTGATGAGACATCACACAAAAAAGGAAAAATTATTTATTTGTTATATTTGGTTCTGCATTTCTCTTCAAGGCACAAAAAAGGGTCTGTTACAAAGAAAGGGGTAGGGGGGATGTTTAATGACTTGCAAACCTGAAAAACTCATGGCTCAAAGTTCTAGAAAAAAATATATTCCACATTGGTTGGGGGAGGGAAGATGAACATTTTACTATGAAAGACTACCTTTCTTTGTCAAATACTCAGTTAAGGAATATGCATTAATCTTACCTTGATAGATCATATTTGCTTGTTTAGTGGTTGTGCAGAGTAATTGGCTCACTACAGATCTTTTGTGTATTGCACAGCTGCTGGGGAAGGCCTGGACTAGCCTCTGTCTGTCAAAGCTCAGAGGGACAGGATTATCCCCTATGACACAGCCTGAACTTCCCAGCAGTGGAGTCAGGGCAGAGCCTAATAATCATATAAGAAAAGGTAGCATCTGGAGAGCTGCCATTTCTCAGGGAGATTTTGCCTGTTTTGTCAGTGCTACCTCTTCCCTGCCCATTGCTCAAGGGGAGCAAGGACAGTAAGTCCATGGTAACCCTTTACTGTACCTCGTTTAGACTGAGACTCTGCAACAGACTCTATACCATTAATTATTCTGAGTATTTTACACTTGAGAGGTTTGGGTGGAATTTTTGAAGAGACATTTAGTATGGGCTCACTTTTCCTCCCACTGAAAGACAGCATGAAAGTCCTATGAATGATTGAAGGCCCCTGTTGAGATATTTGGAAAAACGGTATCATGAGAGCCATGTGGGTGTTCAGTGACAAAAAGAAAGGTATTTTCCCATTTAACTGGCCTCTGCCAAACACATGCTCTGTGCAGAGCCACTAAATGACAGAGGAAAGATTTCTGAATCTCCCTTTGCTCTAGAGCTGGAGAGACAAATAAAGCTGCCATGCCATCCTGAGGACTTCTATCTGGTTGCATCAGTTCAGGTTGTTCCCTTCCAGCTGATCTGCATGCTGCTTCCTGCCCCATTAGACCTCCCACAGAAATATGGAACTTTTCCTTGGTCTCTGCTGGAGCAGCAGTGGCACAAGTCTAGAGGAAGGGATGGGAGCAGAAGCTGTCTTTGCTGGTGCCATCAAGGGGAGAAATATCCTTGCAATGACAGCCTCCCACTGCCATTAGAGAGATAAACTTGAGCCTTCAGTTCTTGGCTGATAAAGGAGTTATTCTGCAGGTCATAGAAAATTATTAATGTTCTTTCTAGAAATGAATACGCCCAGATAAGATATTAAAAGCCTCTCTCCAAATGGAACATCAATGCCTAACCTGGTTTTGTCTGTTGTTTGAGGAGAGAGAGAAATACCCCTACTGCTTCACTTTTGCACACTCTCCCCCACAGGTGACTTTGCTACATCCACCTTACATCATTGGTCTAAAATACACTGCCTAAAGGAACCTTATGGAGACAACCTCTATTTAGATGGATAAAGAAAGTACCAGCATGTGGGTGGTGGGAATACCATAATCCTTGGGCTCTAGAGTAACTTCAGTGCTTCTGAAAATGTCACCCTAAATCCCTTGGTTTTGGCCACCAAGGGGCATTCGTTATCCACCTGGTCTGCAGGAACTCACCACAAAGCAGTGCAGCTGGTGTGGTGAGAGAGGACAACATTTGCTGGGAAAGGACAGTTTTTGGTGGGCAACACAGGGCCCAGCTCTCAGGAACTCTGCTGCCAGGTCAGGGCAGCTCTGGCTGAAGGCACTGGTCTTTGGTTCATACAAAAGTACAGTATCCTTACCAAAACACACTAAAACTTACTGCCTTTAGCAGTCTTTGTACTTCACTTGGATTCTCCTACATGTTTCTGAGCTATTGAAAGTGTGTTTGATTTTCTCCCATTTCTGCTGCATCTCAGAATTACTGTCTTGAGACTAAAATTCAGTGCTTCAGCCTAGACTTCAAATTCGGATATGTTCTTCTCTCTGTGATGCCTCAGAAAACCAAACACTGAGTTTCTGGGAGAAGTTCAACCCTGTGATCACAATGTCCTGATCTCCATACAAGCTTATGGTGCCAGGACAGGTACAGGTGGTTTCCTGTCCAAGAGCCAGACTTGGGGCACAATTTTCATTTTACATAGGCTTGTCTGGGACAAGTCTCATGTTTCTTTTCCAGTGAAACATCTTCAGCCTCATGTCCTATTCCAGGGAATAAATAAATAAGCATCTCAGCATGGCTGTCCTTGTCTTGGGACTCCATGTGTCCTTCTTGCCCTGCATCTGCTCTACTTTGTGGGTGCAGCATATTTTCATGGTTTCAGAAGCTGCAAATAACCTGGAGGCTGAAGAGTTTTGTGCACTCTTAATGAAACAGACTAGATTAGAGACGGTGGTTTAGATGTGAAAGGCTTTCTGCTTCATTATCAATTTTGTGAGCATATGGTTTTCAATCCTACCCATTTCTGACCCCTTAATAATATTCCTGCAGTAGCACAGATCCCATTAAAACACATTTAATAGGGAGGTAATAAACTCCTTGGTGGATTGCTTAATGGAAGGGAACATTCTTCTCTTGCACTCTATCTTTCAGCTTGATATTAAACTTTTGGTGACTGACCATGTCTACTTACAGCTAACCAGCTTCCCTCCCTGACCTCCTTCACTCAGCTCTGTAAGAGAGAACCTTTGTGTTTTCCATTTGTTTGGCCTTTTTCTGCCACAACTACCCTAAATACAATTTTCAAACATATGCAATATTTTGATCATCCATACCAGTCAACAGAAAGAAAAAAAGTCTGCCTGGAAAAGCTAGGCCAAGCTAATTCTTGCCCAGTGACTAAGACATGAAAGATGGAAGACATGTAGGGAAGAAAGGCTGGTGTTCACTGAATTAGTTCAGGTACCACAGCTAATAAGATAGACCTAATCCTGTTACTGGGACAAGTGGAGCTCATGCATACACACTACATGGCAATCGTGTGCTGCATTACTAGGGGAACAGCTTAGGGAAATGTTTTTAAATTAAACTTTCAAATTTTAAGCATGTGAGTGTTTGATCTGACATGCTAATTGTGTGCATGTGTACACAAAGAATGACAGAGGGTACCCATCCTATATGACAAAGCATACATCATGGGAGAAGCAGATAATTGAAATGGTTATGAGGTTTAAATTTTTGCCTTCACACACCATCTTGATATGTTAAATTTGATGGCTTTTCAGTTTACACTCTTGAAAGGTATATTTACGCTGCCAGGCTGATATGAAACATCTCAATGTGGTTAAGGACAAGGTCTGGCATGTTTAAATAGCACTCAATTTTACTAAAAGCTCTGTTGCATCTAGCAGTATGTTTTATAAAACGATGCATTTCCTTTACAGTCAAGTTACCCCATGTTTTAAAGTGTTTGCACAAATTAATTCACTGACATTTTAATGGCAGTGCACCAAGGGCACACCCTCTGTTTGTTTGAATGTACTCTGAGGCACACTGAGACAGACAGAGAATATGTAAGAGCTTGGTTTGCAAATAGAAGTTGTTATGTCTCCATTTTTTAAAATACAAAATCAAAACTGCCATCGGCTTTTAATTCGGCAAATGAAATATCTCTGCTTTTTCAGTACAGTATTGTAAAGACCACTGAAACACCACAGTATGACAAACACACACATTCTTTGAAGAGCAATATAAATCTGAATTATTTTCCATGACAGAGATAAGGAAAGAAGTAAACAACCAAAATAAATAGTTCTGTGATTAGCAGATTCACGAAAACCTGCTTTTATACCTTCTCTGGTTCTCTTTCTTTGTGTGTAATAAAGTGGGACACTGAGAGAGTCAGTTTAACTTGACCTCTTACTCTCACAAATGTATTTTAATATATATCATGGGCACCTATGCCCAACAGCTGAAACAAAAGTTGGCCAGGGAGTACAGAGGTTATTGAGACTATAAAGACAGGCATCAGCCCAAGCTGCAGGACTGCCTATGGACTCTTTCTTTAGGCAAGGATGGGGTCACAAAGGCATTTACAGTGTGGCAGGAGGGCCCAGTGGCCAGCAAGTTACCCTCAGGACAAAAGCTCAGTGTTCTGCCCAGCCAGACCATTTGTGTCACATAGACAAGTTCTTTAGCATAGAATTTCTAAGAGTGTTTTGATTCCTAAGAGACCAAGGCATTATCTGTTGAGGTGTTCAAAAGCCTGCAGGCTCCTGAGTTCTGTTGGTTTTGATCTCTAGAAATGAAGTTTGAGCTTAAATAGGATTTTCTTCTGTGTCCCTTCTCAAATTAATGCCAGAGGTGACAGCACCACTGGCATTAAATTGAGAAGGGACACAGGAAGCGGATTTGTGTTCATCAACTGTGTGGGTCCTCTCAGTCACCTGTGAGAGAGGCCAGCATGGATCACTACCAGGAGTAGGGATAAGCAAAGACTGCACTTTAGGAACCAATCTTGTAGGCTACACTCTACTCCTATGGTATTTTTAGAGCTTTGGGATGCTTTCTCGGTGTGTTCATAAACATAACAAATTCTGTTTAGGCTTTTTTTTCAAAACAATAAATATTTCTCTTTCCATTATTACACCTTTTGTTTGGTGGGCATAAGAGAATTTGTTAACAAAGATATGCTAGCTTGACTAGTAAGATGCTAAGGGTTTAAATCACCTGAATTTTCTGTGCTCTGGCTTTTAATTACCCACATGAGTACATTGGCATCAACACTGAGCACATATAGACTGTCATAGCCATGGAACTGACCACATTGAAACTCTGGCATTATCCTTTTAGAGGGGACAGGCAGCAGCCACAAAAGCACCAGAAATCCCCCCAATGTACAATAAAAGTAGACCACAGTGCATGCTCGTGGACATAATCATCCTCAGGGAGAAGACAATCTCTCTCTCTTTGCACTGAGAAGACGAGGAGCCCTCAGCTGCAGGCTTGTGCACTCAGGACACATAGCTCAGTGCCCAGAAGAATCTTTGCAAATAACCCCAGCAAAACCCTGGTGTCATTACAGCTGGGAAAAATATCTATTCTGACTTCTCTGGGGTTAAGATTTCATCCTCAGTCATCACCATCTACAAGCTTTCAAATACTGTAGTTCATGATCAATACTTGTTATTAGTCACTGCACTTATATTATTGCCTCTCTAGAATATTAACCTCTTCTGGGCCAAGATGGCATGCTGGCTGGACAAGAACAATTCTTTGCATTTTACTGAAATATAATAATGCTCAGATTAAAGGGATTTTTTATGCTCCATCTGACATTATTAACATAAAGCAATGAAAAAAGTGAATGTCAGTGTTGCATGTGTGACTGTTTCAGCAGAATATACAACTTAAATTGCTGAAGTTTGACTCAGAAACGAGCTTTCCCTGCAGGCAGCTTGTACACATTGGGATTACAGGCTAGAAGTAACATGCTGCTATCTGGGAAGATATGGACTATCAGAAACCGTATCTTAAATCTAGTTCATATCCTAGCATTTACAATATTATGCTCAAGTACACAGCTGTGTGCATGCACAGGTAGGGAATCTGTTACTCATAAAAAAATGTTGTCAAATGCATATGTGAGATGGGTATTTCTGAGCTGAAACTTCACCAGGACCCAGAAACCTAACAGCTTGACCTCAAGGGTTCAAAGGAGGTGTGAAGGATTGGAAAAAGTTGTTCTATTGTCATTATCCAGAGTGTCCTCATCACGAAGCATCAAGGGAGCCAGTCTTTATTTCTCCAGTTTGTGTTAATTCAGGAAGGCAGAAAATTCTCTCCATGCTATTTAAACCCTCCATCCATTTTCAGTTATGCTCACTCTGTCTCCCAAAGCACACACTGCAGGAACCCTGGAGCCTCTTCTCAGGAGGCTCAGAGCAATACCAGGCTTCACTTCAACCTCCAAGCACTTGCTTCCTGCCAACAGCTCTTGGTTGGTGCCCATGCAAAGGCAACAAACCTACAGATTGTTTTCAAAGACTCAGAACTGCAAGTAGGTGCATGTAAAAAATTATTAACACACACTTAATGACTATTAATACAAATATGTATGCATGTAGGCATGGAAAAAAACCCCCAAGAACAGTGCCTACAAAGGGGCTTCCTCAGCACAGCATTGTCACTTCAATTCCCCCATGAAGAGTCTTGAGAACTCAAATGTTCTTCTGTGATTTTTCCCCAATGACTTTAGTGCTCTTTAAGATTTGATTTAGCAGAGTCCCAGAGTCTGTGCAATGCCAATGTGTTCACTACTTGTCTTTATAGGAGTTCATCACTTGTTCATCAAATCCCTGATCTATATAAGTGTTCTCTGAAGAAAGGATGTCAAGGTCACAAGGAAACAGAATAGCCTCTTAAGAAGCGGCTGCTAAGCAACCTGATAAAGTGATGTTCCTTTCCAGAGATGACCAATCTCTTCCAAAAGAAATACTCTTTCCCTCTTCTCAGCACTTTTTTTAATGTGGTATGAGATCATTCATAGCAGCAAAAGAGGCAAGAATTTAGCATGCTCTGGTTGGTTGATATGATATCTGCTCACACTGCTCACAAACTGCAAATACCCAGCACAGAACCATAAAATGCTGCCTTTTTTTTTTTTTTCCCTCAAGCCTGGGCTAAATTCTTTAAAGTGACAGTTTTTGCCTTTTGTCCTTTATCTCCAAAAAGCCCTAGGGTCCACTCAGGATATCAGTAGCTGCTTAAGATGTGTGCAGCCAGCTGTGCTGGTACAGAAAAAAGGGCAGAGATCTGTATATTCCTGTGAATATAGATGGGTTTGCAGCTTATTTCAACTGAATAATAATTACATTGGCCCTTGAAAGCTTTGAGCTGGATAGATGGGCCACCCTGTGAGACCCTGTAGTTGTGTGCAGCAGAAACAGGTCCTGCTCCCAAGGACTTTGTGCTCTAAAAAGATAAAAGGGTGGGAGCAAAGCAATAGGGGAGAGAAATATATGTCCAATCTTCAGAAAAGGAATTGCTGCTTCTGGTTGTCAAAGATATAACAGAAAGCCTGTTGTCAGGAAAAAAATGGATGGGCACTGACCCATTTATCCTAAACAGTGGTGATGGTGGCAGAGTCCAGTGGGAGTGAGACTCTGCACTCCAGCAGCTCCTCACTCCATGTGGGAAAGAAGACAGAGGAAATGAAGGGTTACCATTACCCTAGGCCTTGACATCAAACCTTTGAGTCACTTTTTCCCTCTTTAATCTAGCCCTGCAAATGAAAGGTTTAATCTTTCCTCCCTCCTTGGAATTTTGCCTTCTTACTTCAGATTACTTCCTATGCAATAATTTGTGGAGTGTATCTGATGCTATAGGATGCTGCCCATGTGGATAATTTGCTGTTACGTGCAGAATTCATATCCTCTATTCTCTTCCAGGGTATCATAGGTTAAGATTATGCCTGTGGTAATTTCACACCCTGCCTTAGCTTTTGGGATCAGATGTGTTTATAAACTCCCTGATCTTCAGCTTAGAGAAAAGAATTGCAAGGAAAAAAAATAATCATCTTCCATATTCTCATTTTTTAATAACCATTAACATCCCTGATTTTGGCATTTCAGCTTGGCAAGCATTTGTCCTCAGGAGCCAGATTTGCATTTCAGATTATAGATTTCCCTAGATATACAAAGCATCCCTTTTCCCAGATCAAATCTTATCTTCTAACATAGAGATTAAACTGCCTCTCTGGAGATACAAAGCCCTTCTACAAGAAACCATGGGAATAGAAACCAGACCTCCTGGCACACAGCCCTGGGCTGCATCGATACCTAGCTGTGCTGGGGTAGTGGAATCGCAGATCTTTCTTGGGAAATTAAAGGGAAGGGAAAGGAGTTGGAGGAAATGAACCACCCACTGTCTACAAGTTTCAGATCGCCTGTTCCCCAGCACCTGATCAGAGATTAAGCACTGGGGATGGAAACCTTAATGGAGCAGAATGAAAGATATTTGCTACCAGAAAATACTACCAGACAGATTTTTGTCTTAGCTGTAACCTCTAGGCTTTTTGTTTTCAAACTCTGCCAGATGGAAAATAATTTCTGCAGCTGGCATTCTTCTCACTTCACTATCTTACAAATATGAAAAACAAAATATACGCTCTTCTGTAACAGTACAATTTCTCACATTGCTCTAAAGGGTCACATTTCTAGGCACACACACATCACATATATAACATGGTATTGCAAAATACGTGGGCAGCTCCTTGTTTGCTTGCATACCAAGCTGGTTTTTAGGTACAAACACAGATTTTGTGCCAAGAAATGAGGCAGTCCCATCTGAAAACTATTTAGAAAATTGCAGTGATAGATGTCTGCTAGTAGAATTCCAATTATACCCTTGAGAATGACATCCAGAAATGAGATTTTTTTTTTCCCCTTCTTTTCTTGTTTTTAGATGTTTAGATATAATAAGCTCCTCTGAAATTCAGGTGACTGATGCTAAACGCATACCAAATACTATGTTGTTGATTGCAGTATAAAAGCTGTATTGTGGTAAGCCAGGTGTAGAATTGAAACTTTCAACCTCTTAGTCTTTCAGGGAAGCAACAGGGAGCCAGCAAGGCTTGCTGGGCTTTGCAGAGCAGAAAAGCCAGATACCTGCATGTCTTGGGAGCAAAAGGGTTTGGTAGGAGGAAGAGAGGGAAGGAGGAAGTGAATGGGCTGGATATCTGACTGAACCTAACATATCCTGAAGAAGGATGCACCTCACCTATATTTAAAGGGGTTTAGAGCTCAGCCTGCTTTGGTGTAAAGTTGAGCTCTTTTCTCATAGGAAAGAGTTCAACTCTCAGCAAAACTATTTGAAATGCATTCACAGCTGATGTCCAGTGCAAAGAACTGTCATCAGCAGTGTGTGCTAACTCCCCTCCAGGGATCTCTGACACATAACTTTTAAGAGGGGTTTTATGGCCCTACAGACATTGAGCCTAAAGGAGATTTTAGGCTGTACTCTGATCTAAACAACATTAATTCTATCCTTTCTTACCATAGTATCAGTATATTCTTCCAGCTTTACTTCAGTTACCATCTTGTTATGCTGCAAAAAGAGATCTCGCAGGAAATCCTGTAGTAAGAAAAGAGAGAAATTTTACTCTCTAGAGTAAATTCAAGAAATAACAGTAGGAAATTAAATTCAAATTCAGCAGGGTTACACAAATCTAGTTTCACATTCCTGGTTAGTACTAGTGTCTTCAGTTTGACAAAATTCAAATTTTTTTAGCTGAAACATGGGGTTTTTTTAAATTTGAAAGTAATTAAATTTCACCAGAATAGGCATACTGGAATGAGTCCTAATAGATTCATGAAAGAAGCAAAAGATAACATGAGTCCTGAAATACATGCTAATTATCTCAAATCAAAATATTTGCCATTCAGTAAAACACTCAAGCCTCCTCTTACATCTTTGCTGGGACACAGGCTGAAGCCACACACTGAGACTTCAGCACATGATGTACAGCCCAGGCAAAGTGTTAAGAGTTACAGTTTCTGAACAGGCTCTTGCCTCAATAGCCTGAGCTTTAATGAGAAATCAGTGTTCGGAAAACCTGCACGTTCAGGAAGAGATTGTGAAGAAATCCCCTTAATAAAACACAATGGCTTTGGCTCTGTTCAGCTGGGAGAAGCACATATGCAAAGCCAAGGTGAGGCAGTGCTTGTGGGGCTCACTGGATGCCTCATGTTACCAAGACAACTGAGGTCATGGGACAAGGCTAGGGGGAAGCAGGACATTGAGGGCAACAGCAAACCATCCTCCCTCCTGCAGGGCCCCTGAGACCATGCCAGAAGGCACAAGTCCTTAAATTTGCTATGAACAACCCAGAAATGCCATTTGTCAATCACACAAAAAGACAGCAAATTGGTAAAGCTGATGGAAGAGCTCCCATTGACATCAGTGAACTGTAGGTCAAGCCCAAAGATATTTGTTAGAATAACTTACTTTGAGTTCACCAGCTGAAATAAATCCACTGCTGTCAGCATCGTAACTGCGCCAGATCTGAATGGGGATAGATTGATGTGAGCACATAAATATTGCGGTTACTCACGATAGATTGTAAAGATTCAAAGCAGAACTTCCATAATGAGCAAGTTGTTGCATTAGCCAACATTTAATTAATTGTAGATGAAATAAAATAAACTTTTCGCACAATAGCTCTTACTCACACTTGGATGCTATACTTGCTACATGCTGCTATCACATGTGTAATGCAGAGACACTATAACAGGAAGACAATACTAAGAAATTGTATTTTGCATTTCTTGCCTAATTTGTACATGTAGCTTTCTTTTATTGTTCTGAGTCAAGGCCATACACAACGGGCCATTGATCTGCAGAAGCCCCCAGCTTGTATGTGAAATAAAAGTAACTGCATGAAGTCTTGGAAAAATTGAAACTCCATGTTGGCATACTTTGGGGCAGAGATCAGAGGAAGAATGGGCAAAGTTCTGTTGACTCAACTTATGGAGGTTTCCTGTCCATGCCCTAACAGTTTCAGGATAAATTGGTGTTTAAAATGTGCCTGCTCTGCTGTCTTGGTCTATACTGTACTGCAGGTGAGGAGGTGCAGGGGAGAATTGATGAGTGGAGATGTTTTGTCTGTAGTGGCATGACTGATAGGTGGCTGAGAGTGCTTGTGAAATGTAATGAGTTCTCTGGGTACCCTTGGTCCAGTCCTAGACACCACACCTCTGTTTTGCTGGTGTAAATAATGTAAAACCTTCTCTACCTGAACAAGTCAGAACGTGTTTTGCTTCCACAATACCCATCTATTTCCCAAGCTGTGCTTTACAGAGGACAGAAGGGCTGGTGTTGAAGAGGCTGGTAGTGTGCAAAGGGGAGGAGGCAGTGTAGAGATACAGACCCGCATGAATTCCACACTGTTGTCCAAGGGAGTTTCCCGTCGGAAAAGCAGTAGGAAGTTCTCATCATCCGGCAAGATCATATTCGCAAGCTGGATAAAAAACATTTTAAAAATTCCCCACAACAAAAAACAAACTCACACCATGAAAGTAAAGAAGAAGCTTGAGTAGCTGCTGTCCCAGTATGTGAAATATAGGTTTGACATGTTTCTCCCTTGGAAATAAACTCCAGACCAAAGGATCTGGCCAATGTAATACTCTGTGAGTCACCTCCTCTGCACCCAGGCTTTACTCCCAAGTCTGCTACAGGTCTTAATCACAGAATGGTTTGGGTTGGAATGGACCTTTAAAGGTCATCCAATCCAACTCCCCTGCAATAGGCAGGCACATCTTCAACTAGATCAGGTTGTTCAGAACCCTGTCCAGCCTGACCTTTGATGTTTCTAGGGATGGGGCATCAACCAAATCCCTAGGCAACCCCTCTGAGTCCTTCACCACCCTCATTAAAAAAAAGTCTTCCTTAATCTGCTCTTAATCTACCCCCTTTCAGTTTAAAACCATTACCCCTTTTTCTATTCCTACAGACCCTATAAAAAGTCTGTTCTAATTCTCCATCCTTCTATAAAAGAAATCCTGGGCTAGGGTTGGGCAGAGATACCTCCTGGATTTGCAAACGTCCATCTGTGGTGACATCGTAGACAGACATGAATTGCTCCTTCATCCTCTGAACTTCTTCTTCTGTGATGGTACTCTGCCATGGGGAAAACAACAAGTGCATAAAAATTGCTGAGGGCACCAAATGACTCTCCTGGAAGAAATCTCTCCTCACTCACAGATAATCACCAGGATCATTGCATTCTTACAGTTGGGGGTAATACTTTTAAAAGCCCATAGACAAACCATTGTGAAAAAATTGTGGTTTTTTGGAAAAGTCCTACGCATATCTTTGCAGCTACTAAGCTTTGGTTGGAAGATCAGTGTTTGGAAACCCCAAAATATTTCAGTGACGCTTCCTTAGCCAACTGCTCCTATTAAATCACTGGGGTTTGGTTTTGCTCAAGTGTGTGTTACAGCAGTTTCCATCCTGCTTGTTTTCAGCTTGTGCTTTCCAGGAAGATATCCTTATCCTTGAATGACATCTCTGCAGTTCATTAGATCATCAGCCTTGAAAGGTGTCAGTGGAGCTAGATTGTTGCTTATTATTGCCTGTTAGCTGATTTAAGACCTGGCACCAAGCCCTGTAAGTGTTTGTGGGCTAATAGCACAGAATTTCAAGCAATTGACATACTCTTTGTATCTGCTCAACCCTGTAATCGATTTATACATAGTGAGGAATTCTCCAGACTTGTCACGTTATGTGTTTTGACAGGCGTTGCTGTGACAGGTGAAATGCAATGCTTAGGTTCATCAGGCACAGTTTCTTTAGGGAAACCATGAGAGTACCCACTCTGACTGGACTACACAAAATACAATTTCCTCACCATGTGAAAAGGCTTCTGGTCATATGAGCATCCTGGCTTCTCTCCCAGTAGTGTGGGAGGGGAGGGAAGGAAAGGAGAAGGATAATCCACACTGGATTGTGGCAAACCTTTGTAGAACTTTTTACAAGACAATAAATTAACTTCTTCCCAATCCCTGAATAAAAGTCCTTCAAAGTTTTTATCATGTCTATAACCAGGTAGATGTGGGACTACAGCTATTCCTTCCTGGGTCTACTATAACACAGTTTCTCATTCTTTCCAGCTGCTATTGAAGCTCCATTAGGTTGTACACTCCCTTTTTTATTACTGTGACACAAGACCATGAGTGACTTTCCCAAATTTACCCAGTGCACAGCACCACGCAGTGCAGCCCTTGGGGTGCATCCTTGCTGTGTAACACCAAAGGTGGCAGCTCCCAGTTTGGTGATGAAACACCAAGCAGTGATCCCACTGGGATGCACCCAAGGTGGAAGGCCCCAGGAATGGCTGAGTGAGTCCCAGGGCATGGCTGCAGGATTCCCCATTCTCATGGTGGTGTCCAGAAAGTCCTACAGGCTTGGGTATTGAGGGCACACGACATCACTGAACACACACTTCTGTTTTCTTTCCCCTTGGCATTATAACTCACCCTCATGCTGTTTAAATTGCCTTCTGACAGCACCTTGATACTTTGAGACACCTCCCAGGAGTAAGGCGAACCTATCAGTTGCTAACTTCAATAGGTTTGCAGAGTAGTCTGAAATGATCCTCCTCCAAGCCCAGCAGGATGCGTTATTTCCAAAATGATAATTCATAGCTGATATTTGAAAAGTGTGCTGTGCAATTCAAACTACTCATTTGTTAAAATGCTTATTGCTCTACTTGGTGTCAGCTATTAACCACAACTTCACTGAGCTTTCTGTGGCAGGGACACTGTTATCTGCATAAAAATAGGACAGCCTCCTTCTTTTTATAAACGGATTTAAACTATGGGATACATCAAGTAAATGCCTGGAATACTTACAATATTTAAACAGCTCCAAAAGCTCTTAGTCCAAGGGGTCACAGTGGATTTTTCAATTTGGACCATCTTTCTCTCTTCATAAATCCCCATACTCTGCCTGATCTCTTCCCCTTGACCAAGCAAGGTCAATGATCTGAAGGCTCACCTCACGCCATTAGCAAGGAGGCTGGGGCTGCGCAAATTGGGAGGGGACACAGCCAGGACAGCTGACTCCAGCTGACCCAAAAGATACACCATACCATATGGCATGGTGCTCAGTATATAGAGAGGGGGAAGAAGGAGAAAAGGAAGGTGTTTGTCTTCTGAAGTCAGCATGATTGAACACTGCTTTCCTGGACATGGCTGAACAGCTGCCTGCCCATGGGAAGTGGTGAATGAATTCTTTGTTTTGCCTTGGCTTGTGCCCTTGGGTTTTGCTTTACCTACTAAAACATCTCTATCTCAACCCATGAGTTTTCTCACTTTAGTTTTCTGATTCCCTCTCCCATTTCACTGGGGAGTGAGTGAGTGGCTGTGTAGGGCTGCCTGATGGGTTAAATAATGATATAACAAATAGTAGCACACAAAAACGTGCCTCTTATAAGATGGAACAGAAGGAAATGGCAGCAAGTAAACGTCTGTAGTTGGGCACATCTTTCTTTACCAGAAAATTCTGTCTTGATTGTGTTGCCTGTCTCAAGCAACAGATCCTTAACCAGTTTCAAAGGTTTGCAAAGCTTTCCCTTTTGTGAGGGGTTAAGTGAATGCTGTTGCATCCTTTTCAGTCACTCTGTACAGAGAAGCTTTTCTTGAAATTTCTTGTTTTCCCTGGTGCATGCACCTCCCTGAGTTTGTGGATGATGTGTGATTTCCAAGGGCTGCTGCATGTTCTCACTGCACCAGGAAAGAGACCTCTACTACTTACCATGAGGAGAAGGCCATGCCATTTTTATTCTCATAAAAGAACACAATTTAAAAATATTGCTGTGACTTTGTTAACATACTTTTCAGGGTTAACAAATAAATTTCTTACTACAGATGTTCTTCCACAGAGTTTTACAGAGAAAAGCTTCTGTGCTTCAAGTTGCTATAACAAATTAATTTTCTGCTTTCTCCTTTCCATGTCCAGTCTGTCTTCTGTTTTGTGAAAACCTTTTAGAAGTATTTGTAGCATCACAAAGGTAATTTGTTTTTTAATAATGTTTGTAATCACAGAAAGGGCATGATCACATATTTTTTAAATTTCTACAGCATTTAATTTCTTTTTCATGGCTGGTTATGATTGTTTGGAAACCTGGCTGTAATCTGTCTTCTTTGTTAATCCATTCCTTTTATATTGTTGCACTCTTTGCCTCATGCTGACTAATTAAATTTTTGCTCCTTAAGGGATTCATGTGCTTGGCAGAATTTTGCCCTGATGAAAACACAACTATGAGTCACTTGGTTTGGGGGGGCAAAAAGTAAATGTATGGAGCACTGAAGAGCCTTTCCAATTTGATGAAATGGGATGTCTCATTTAATTCCTGTTGGTCAAGAAAATCCTGTAATAAATTGACTAATTTTTCCTTCTTGACATGATTTTAGAAGCTAGCTGCTATATTGATTAGGGTATAAAAAAGAATGAAACTACATTTAAGTGATGATTATACGCTGTTTCTTGAAAAAAACATAGAGAATTTTTAGAAAATGCTGGCTTGAACATGTGTCTTCTAGTGTTTCAGCCAAATATGATAGAAAGGCCAAGGGTCCCACAGATATCAAGTTCCTACAAGATCTAGGAAAATAAATTGTGTCTGCCAAGGAGAATTGGAAAACAAAATCAACAACTATTATTGTGCCAAAAGCTACACAGTACAGATATGAGGCCAGCAAGAACCAGATGAGAGACATCAGTAATGTACACTTTGACTTTAGAAGAAGAACCTTTCATTTTTGGGCCAGACATTTCTTCATTGTAAAAACTAACTTCATGAATTACTTTGTTACCCTCATGCAGTTGTAGGTTGGATTGCCTGCATAATTCTGGGATATCACCCTACATCTCCAGGGCCGATTCCTCCTTTGAGCCAATCTTGCTCATTTAACTTCAGTGCTATCACTTGAGAATTTGCCCCCGTACTTTGGTTAGGATTTTTGATTAGGATTTACTGTACTCCTGCATGCCACAATAGATGAGCACTTACCCTGTCATCCTGCATTGCGTTTTTGGTTCCTTTTTTACCTTTCATCAGCACAAATGTAGGAAAGCTTTTTTTCTGTAGTAGACACCAGCATCCAACAAAGGCTACTGCAGCTTTCCCTCTGCCATCATGGTTTTGTGGTTAGGTTTTCGACAGGTTCTTTATTCTGTCTTCTCTGCTAGGCTGAAAGTTGTTTGATATGTGTTTGGGTGATGAAAACATATTGTGTCATTTTTATCATGAGTATGTTGAGCTTGCATTAAGAAACACCTCAAGGCTTCCATGCCTTAATGTGGAGGGACAGGATTAGGAGCTGGCCAGGGTAATTAAAGCTGATGAAAGCCACATCTAAAGAAAGAACTCTATTTGACAATAATCAGAATGATAGAATGGTTTGGGTTGAAAGGAACCTCAAAGATCATCCAGTTTCAACATCTTCCCATAGACCAGGCTGCTCAAAGTCCCATCCAACCTGAACAATTCCAGGGATGGGGCATCCACAGCTTCTTTGGACAACCTGTTCCAGGGCATCTCCACCCTGACAGGAAAGAATTCCTTCCTAGTATTTAAAGAGCCAGGATTGCCTGGGGGTTAGAATTCTGAAATATCTGGAATTGAATGCAAGCTGATTGCTCTGTGCTGGGGTCTTCTTGCTGTTCACCTGCTGGTCACCATTGACCTTAGGTCTCTTGAGGTGGTAAAGCACAGGGGAAGTCTGCCTTGGATGGCTTTGAGGCTAGCTGATATTTTGGCCATTAAACTTTGTTTGACTAGCTGTTGCATTCCTGACCATGTTAAATTATACACATTATTTAGACAATGCAGTGTGCAAGGTGAGGATGAAGTGCAAGAGAAGCTGGAGGGTGCTTCTATTCTTTGGAAGTAAAAAGCAAAGACAAATCCTTAATGGCTGATCAAAGTGAGCTCCAGAGGATTAACTTCAGTCCTTTCCAGTCGTAATTGGTTTTCAGGCAGAAGGGATTTAAACAAGGCTAATACCTGTCTTGTCTGACCAAATTTATACTTCAACAATTGTTGTGGTCTCCTACACACTTACAGTTAGGTGAAGGCAGCCATTCTTTCTTTATCTGAAAGTTTTCTATCTAATTTGAGTACAATTTAAGCAAAGTGAAATACCTTTCTGAGAATGCCCAATGGCAATGTGCATTTCTCTCCATATCTACTCAGATATTATTTGTTTTATGGAAACTTTCTGTAATCCAGCCCCAAAATCTATAGCCATTCCTCTATAAAACTCTTATCTAATTATTATGAGAATATACATAGAGCTTCATTAAAACAATAGAAAATGGCAAGCAAGGAAGATCCTAAGTGATCTTGACACAGAAAGATGTACAGGAATATAAGACAGAAATGCAGGAGCTATAGTTCTTGTTATAATAAAGTTATTTCTTTGATGCTGAAAGAAACTGTCCTTTCCACTGAGCTTTCACCTCAGTATAAAAACTTTTAGAAAGTGCATGGAAAGAGGTGCCACAATGTAGAAGAAAGAGGTTTATGAAAGAGCAGAAGAGAGCCCAGGCAGCTCATGGCAGCCATGAAGTAGCAGGTTGGAAGGTGGAGGCTCAAATGGTCAGAGAGAAGTCACAGCAGTGATAAGAGAAACAAGTGGATAATGCCAGCAGCTTGAAAATGTAATGCTGGCATGAGGATGAATTACACACACCTGGAAACTGGAGGGCTTTTCTTAGGACTGGGAGAATAGAATAGAATAGAATAGAATAGAATAGAATAGAATAGAATAGAATAGAATAGAATAGAATAGAATAGAATATTCCAGTTGGAAAAGACTTACAACAACCATCTAGTCTAGTTGTCTGACCACTTTGGGACTGGACAGAAGTTAAAGTGTGATGTTAAGTGCATTGTCCACATACCTCCAGCAATCACTCATTGCTGGAGGAGAAGGGACAGGAAGCAGCATCTGGGATTTGGTTGGTTTACTACAGGTCTGCATTTGTGGCAAAGTTTTCCCTTTCCCTCCACAATTGTTGATGGTTCAATAAATACAATGAATTGGCCTCCACCACTGGATGTTATTTCAAGGTTCTTTGCTCGCTCAGAGTTGTCAGGAAGAGCTGTGTCTCTCAGCTTCCCAACAGGCTCATTTTTGCATTGTTTTCCCAGCTGCTCCCATCCCCTGGCATTTAGTATCAGCTGGGGATGCTAGAGTAACTGGGAAGAAAAACAGAGCTGAAGGACCACAGTGGTCATTAAGAAAAATAACAGCTTAGGGAACGCAGGCTGAAAAAATATAATTATGAAGCCATTCTCTATTCAAGCAGAGACAACTTCTAGTGCTGATAACATTATTTATCACTTGTGTAGCACTCACTTCAGACACAGTCACTAATTAATCCTAGTGACACATCTGTAAGTTGTGCCAGTTCTTTAACTGTGCAAGGAAACAAAGATGTTAAGAACCCAAAGGAATAAAGGTCAAGATGAGTGGTACAGCAGAGAGATGCTCAGTCCCAGCTTACTGCTTTTATCACAGAAGACACTTTCTGTAGGACAGCAAAACCAACGCAGACAGGACCCTTTACCCCTCCTGCCATAATCAAGCCTGTACAATATAAATCATGTGAAAAAGAAAAAAATAGCTCAATGTTGTTAGACAAACTCACTGTACAAAGATAGTAAAGACCTTTGTTTAACTTGGTGCTCAAATGCCCCGGGGGAGTGGGCAGAGGACTGCTCTCAGCCTCCCAGGACAAAGCTCCCCTTGGGTTTTCTGCCACAAAGACAGCCTGCTCTGCCTGCACCCTGCCATGTAGTTTTATCCCTAATATTACCAGAGCGGAAATACTGCCAAAAATAGGCAAGAAGACTTGAGGGAAAAAAACAAAAGCACTTGAGAATCTGTCTGAGCACCCTGAAAGTTAGTGAGCACTGTCTTCCAGAATTAGCCTATTTCTTCTATTTAATAGTAGGAGAGGGAGTTGGTTCTTTCTCTAGTCAATCTATGTTAAACTATTTCTTTTAATGGCAAAACTCAGATAGCAGAAGCAAAGGAGATGCAAACTGGATCAGGGTGCCGAGCTAAGCTGGAGTCATCCAAGCAGGGACTTCTAACAAGTGATAAAACTAATACTGACTTCCTCAAGCGGGATGTTCATTGCTAGAACACTCTCATTTTCCGAGTTCAGTGTGCTGATAAATGACACAAGGTAATAAAGTTCACACTGGTATCAGCAAGACCACAAAAACCGCTGTTACACACAGGGTTTGCTACTCAGCTGGTGTGATGCTGTCCCAGACCTCATGTGAGGGATGCACAAGGGCAGCAATGAGCTAGAGTGAGGCTTGGAGTTTCTCTTGACTCACATCCTCAGGAAGCTGCCTGAGATCAGGAAGCATGAGATCTCTGGTTAACCCTGGATTTTATCACCAGCAGCAAACTCCAGAGAGTCCCACTTGGAGGTCTGACTGCAGCACAGAGCTCTGCAGCCTCATTTTAAGCACCTCCTTCAACATCTCATGTTAGCTGTCACTGAGTTTGTTTGAGCATGCTTTGTGCTGCTGTTTCAATACCCCAAGACTAGCAGCTCCCAATTTCATCTTTTGTTCCTGGGTAAACAAACATGAACTCGCTGATTTCTCTTTAAATCAGCTTTTCTGTGTCCTTAAACATTCTTATTGCTGACTCTCTTGATTCGTTTGAAGCCTTTTTATGTGCTTATCTGTTCATCTAACCATCCGTACTCTGAAAGACATTTCTGCAGGAACTGCCAATATTTCAATCCAAAATCACTTGCAAATTAAATAAAAATATGCTTGAAAAAATTACGCACAGATTCTATTTTTTTAATTGTAACCCTAGAGATCCAAGAATACTAATTGGCTTGAAAGTACGATTTTGATTTTACACTTGATACTCATGATTTTATGTCTTTTATCAGCTACCTTTTCTGTCTTTGTTAATTACTTTTTGCTTAAAGGAATTGTTTCATCTCTGGTTTTTGGCACATCCTCTCCTTCCATTTGGAAGATGCTTCCTCCTTTTTCTACCTAGGCAGACTCTGTGTAGTGAAAATATTACTATATCATTTGTATACTTCTGAGTGCTGGTCTCAGTGGCAGGGTTTCTCCTTCACTGATGGTGACACTCAAAGGCAAGGTGTGACCTGGAGCCAAGGAAAGCAGCCTCTGTAAATTGTAGTGCAACTTCTGTTTGTACGGAAATGCAGACGATAAGAGAGGGAAAATGCAGCCAAAACCAGGAAAGAAAACCAGGGGAGAAGCCCAGAAACCCTGTAGAGACAGGTCTGGATCTTAGAAGCAACAGAATTTACTCTCATTTGGCTTTTAGCCATTTGTGGCAATATAGACATAAGCCTTCTTCCTAAGCACCATTTAAAATTAATGACAGTATATTTGTTAAAAATTGACCTGGGAAGGAAACCTGCCATATTAACAACACTAATCAACACAGGCTTGAACAAATAAACCATGAACATTGCCCTCGAGCTCAGCCAGCCAAGCTATGTCCCGGTGCTTTTTTACTTGTTTCTACTCAACAACAGTAAATTACTTTCTCTCCACACTGCCAACCAGCCCCTTCCAGCAGCTGTTGGGCTGGAAACAACTGATCAAACTGCTCAGCTCACTTAAATGCCACCCTGTTGCCAAGAGAAAAGCTCTTTACCTCGGGATTGCTAAGGAAGTCGATAGTCAGGGAACAACAAACACAAACCATCTCTCAGCATAACTTTTCTGCTTGCACCTGATGTGCAACTAAAGTGGCACAGTACTTACTTCTGGTCCCAGTTTCTCCAGAAGATGATGAAAAAAATCGTCAAGCTCCTTCCCTTCTATGTAACCATTGTCTAAATAAAAAGCAAATAAATTAATGGTCAGGGGTACTGCCCGAGTTCCAGGAACAGAGTCATGGGTGGCAGCACGCAGGTAGCCCAAGGCTTCAGGCTCAGGATCTCAGCTGCCTGCCCACTCAGGGGAGCCCCATGATTCCCAGTTCCATCTGTTCACTTCTGTGTGAGGGCTGGGCACAGCTGCGGCACTCCCTTCAGAGTTTTTCTTACAGAAAACTTTTCAGAAACAAAAATAACCCCCCAAACTGGGACCAAAAGAGACAGCAGCAGACAAAACACGGAAGTGACGAAAAGGCAAAACTTGGGGAGTGAAAAGGGGGATTTACAGCTGTGATATTCATGGCGAGGGGGAAGAAGGGGGGCTTGAAAACACCTGCGGAACCTCTTGGGGGTAAAGCTTGGACATGTCGGCCCCATGTGCAGCATCCCAGGCACCCACACACACATACACACACTCCGAGGGGCACCCACCCACACGCACACACACCCTGAGGGGCACCCACTCCCTGCACAGACAGAGCCCTACCCGGCACCCACACACCCTCAGCCGGCTCCCCCCATGTGTCCCCACTTGCCGTCGGTGTCGAAGCGCCGCCAGGCCCCGAGGAAGGCGGCGGCGTCCAGGCGCCCGTCGGCGCCGCTCTCCATGGTGCTGCTGCTCTCGGCCCCGGGCCCCAGCCTCCCCTCACTCGGCGGCACAGCCTCTGCCCCGGCCCCGCCGCCGGGCCCGGCTTTCAAGGCGGCGGCCCCGCCCCGGGGGCGGCCCCAAGGGGGTCGCTGAGGGGAGTCTCCCCCTTCCCGGGGCTCGTCCCACCGACCTCCCGCCCGCCCGGATCCCTCGGGGCTGTGCTCGGGCACGGGTTTAGGCGGGACTGGGCTCAGCCGTCGAGGTTCGCTGGAGCAGCCGGAGCGCGCAGCCCCCTCTTCGTAAGAGCCGCTCGCAAACGACCTTTAAAGTTTCAGACCCCCCGAACGAAGGCAGAAGTGCTGGAGGGAAATGTGAGGCTTCAGAGTAGAGGAGTTTAAGGGGAGGAAAAGGAGTTTTCTAAAGCTTGTAACTCTCCTCCTCGGTTTGTGAAAGCAGAGTAGCAGCAGGCATAGTTGTCTCCCCTTCTCATCCCTCACCGCCATGAAAAGCCAGAGGACTGAGACGGACAGAAACCTGCATCGTCTTCCTCCTTTGTCAACCTTCTCCTCCTTCCTTTCTTCCTTCCTTAAATGTAGTACTAATCAAATCGACAAACCGTGGGGTTTGAGGTCTCTGTGCTGATAGAGCATTATATTCATGATGGCCCTGCTTGGGAGTAGATTTGATTTGAATGTCTCTTGTGTATTCACCTGCAGTGATTTCAGGCACCTGGGACTGAGCTAGTCTCCATGTGCCCTCCCAGAATCGTTATCATCTCCTTTGAGACCCTTACAGACAGTTTTTTCTAGGTTGCCTTTGATTCAATAGATACATATTTCAATTTTATTCGCATAATGATTGCTTTAGAGAGGCTCTTAGAAGCAGCAGAAAAGGCTTTTTAGAAGTAGTTAATGTTTGCCCTGAGAAGGTTCCTATTTGATCTGAGGGGAAAAAAAAGCCCTGAAGAACTGAGTTGTGTTTTACTTAGGAAATTCTTTCAAGGAGATCACAACAGAGATCATACAGTAGTGTCCAGTGTGCAAAGAAAAAGGAGATGCTGTAAAGCTGATGTGTTTAAACAGCAGCATGGGAAGCATCTCAGTACAGGGATTCCCTGGACAGCAGCCTTAGGATCACCTTTGGACCTCAGAAAAATTATAATCAAGAACTTAATGCAACAGCAGGGCCACAAGCACTCCCTGACCATGTTCAGATGGGGAACCCCAGCATGGGAGAGCAACTCATTAGGTAGTGACATGGAAAAGTCTAAATTTTTAGGGGACACCTGCCCAAGTCCCTTGCAGGCAAGACCAGAGTGACTCCACAGGTTTCTCTATCATCTGTCCTTTCCTCATTGCCAAAAGTCAGGCCACACCTTAGGTTGAGGGCTCTCATGGAACCCCTCCTTCAATCTCTTCTTCCCAATGTTTCCCACCATGGCTCCCTGGCAGTGGTGGCCTTATGTACTCCATGGGAGCTGCCTGATCTCTTGTGTGGGATGAAGTCACCTGGTACCACTTCATGGCATGAAGGTCGCTTTTTGGCCCCATCTCTCTTCCTAGGACCCAAAACCCATCTGCCCCAGAGAGGGAGCATACTGATCCAGGCTTTTAGGAAAGAGATGTTCATCAGTTTCTAACATGGTTTGCAACCTGGCTTTGGAAACCACCACCGTGACTGATAACCAACAAGGTCCCCTGGTATTATGACAATTGGTTTCTTACTAAAAAATATCTTTAACAAAATTAACTTAAGAGGAAGCACTACACATGTTTTGAAATATTTTGCAAGTGAAAGCACCCTGCCATTTGGCAGTGAGGGAGACAGTGAGATTTTATGGGATTAGATGCAAAGCTCAGAACATGGAGAAGAGCTCTTCATAGCTGATTCTTCCCCATGCTCTCACAGGAGGAAGAGCAGACAAGAAGTGTCACCTTGTTTAAACTACCTGTATTTATCCAGTGTCTCACACAACTCAGTGAAACCAGGTCCAGTTTGGAGAGAAAAAAAGACCTTCAAGTTTAAGGGGCTCTCATAAGACCTCATTTTAACCTATGCATGAGGATGTGGATGATGTGTATCCATCCAGCTGAGCATCCTTGCCATCCCAGGCATTCAGTGCTGCCAGAGAGATATTTTGATTTCACACAGCAGCATACCTGCAAAGGAGGAAAAAGAAGCAGAGCTCATGGATTCCTCTTTTGTTTGCACCAGCTATGCCTTTGCTCTCCCCACAAAGCCCTCTACTGAAATACCCTATAGATATAGGAGCAACCCCATAGATGCACAGCTTTGCTGCTTTGCCCTGCCTCAAGTATCGCACAAAATGAATTTAGTGTTCTTTGGGGTGGAATTGCAAAATTTAGCTCAAAGTGACTGGAAGCAGGTAAATCCCTTGTTCCTAAAAGAGGATGTGGCCATCCTGCTGCATGCCTAAAACGTGTTCAGCTTCTCCAATTGCTTTAGATGACTCAGAAAAGCCTGAATGAGAAGAAAAACAAACTAAACAAAAAACAGCTCAGAACAATTTTTACTCATCCAGTTGGATTTTCCGTGGAACACTGTAAATTTGAGAAGTATATTGAACTGGGGACCTATTGGCATTATATTAAAGCAACACTGAAGACAGCTGCTGTGTGTGCAGGTCATGTACCAAACTCAGCAACCACTCTGCCTTGGCTTATTTCCTCAGAGGAATAAATGAGAGTTAGAGGTAGACAGTATTTTAAAAAGTAATGAACACTTTTGTTTAAGGACTTTGGCTTCAGCTTTGCACTGTTCTGTAAAGTTCAAGGCTGAAGAGCTCAAATCTGTGTTTTGAAAAACTTTAAAAAAACCTAAACCAAGTGTATCCACCCTGACCAGAGATACACTTGGCTCTTAAATGAATGTGCTTCAGTAGGTCCCTTGAGGCTGGAAGCATATGTACAACCATTGCCTGGTCCTGCTCTGGGTCAAGGAACCCTCCCGCTGAGGACACCAGCAATGCTGTTTTATTTAACTGATATTGATAATAAATTCATAAATGACAATCATTGCAAAGTAGAGCAAAATAAAGAGCTCATGGCCAAAGCCCAGCCTTGGCTAGCTTTGTAGAAAGGCTTTATCAGGCAACTGTAAATGGGAAAACGTGGATAAAAGTGCAGATTGCTGATCTGGAAAGAAAAATAGGGGCAGCTGACAAATGCCGCATTCTTTGGGTCAGACTCAAATTATGGATGTGAAATGAAACATATGGGTTGCCATGAATAGACTAGAGAACAAAAAACCAAACCAAATATTTAGATTTGTGGTATGACTTTGCTCCTTGCTTTTACACAAGAAAATTCTAAATACATGCAGACGCAGTTAAATGGAAATAATTTTCCTCATCAAATGGCTTCAGCTTCCCTCAGCTTTGCACTGACCAGAGACACTGAGGAAGCCAACACCAGCTATCAGCATTTCATCCTTCACTGAGCAGGTGGTTTGGATTTTGCATGGGTCCTGCAGAAAGCCCCAGCCCAGATCCTCGGTGTGCCCTGTTTTCCCCAGACCCTTATTTGTATCAGGGCAGTGGGAGGTGGGTTTGCTGCCTGAGCTGCTGTGCACAGCTGGGGCTGCCAAGGGTGGGGATGATGCACTCCTGCCCGGCAAGGGGTCTGTGAGCATCCCAGCAAAGGAAAATGCTGCAGAAGCAATGAAAGGCAAACTGAAAGGAAATCAAAATGGAAATAATACAGCCAGTGAAGCCCTCTACCGTTCCTACCATTTCTTGGAAATCAAGTCAGAGATGATGCTGTCTGCTGCAGAAAAGAAACAGACTCTTCTTTCTAACCCACCCTCAGACGGGTACAAGCTGCTTATTAGCAGTAGACCCCCACCTTCCAACAAGGATGCCCTTCTCTTGCCCCTCCTTCCATCCTGCTCCCTCCCTCTGTCCCACAAATCCCACATTCCTGTGCTGGGCTAGATCCTGGATCCATCTTTCTGATTCAGGTGGTGCAAAGTGTGTGGGCTCAGGGTGCAAAGAAGTGCAATGACAGTTCAGGTCAGGTATTGATGGATGTGTTGTGACACAAGGACTACCATCCCTCAGTCATTTCCATCCACAGATTCCCATCAAAACCAAGTTTCTCCAGCCTTCTCAGCCAGCCCTCCAAGCTGTGATGCTTCAGTCCTCTTTTATCTTCATTTTGGACTAGCAATGAGATCCCTTTAGTGTTATAAGGAAGTAAACAACCTCTTCCCACAAGGATTCCACTGGAATGAGGGGTCAGGACTCAGGCCATCAGAAGGGATCTGAGATTTCCCAAAAGAAAAGCTGATATTTCCCCCAGCAACATTCTGCTCAATGCTACCCAGGGACTGTAGTCTCAGTTACAGTCAATGACTTTCATTATTTCAGTCTTTGGCTAGAATTTAATGTTGTCCACATAAAGCCTGGGCTGTACGGCCTTTACAGCATTCTCCTCTACCCTCTGCTAGGTCTTACCTACCTAAGTAAATGGGAAGGGAAGGAGGCGTTCCTGGAATGATGCTAAACAGAAATTACAGAGTTAACTTGACTCCTCCATTCAGTGAAACCAAATTGGATTTGCCAAGCTAGCAGCCCCTCTCCTGCCTTCCCTGGCTGGTATCAATCTAATTAAATACTCCTTCTCCCATGCAGCTTTTTTCTTCTCAGTTCAACTTACTGGAAAAGCAGAAAAAACAGGCTCTGAAGGATTGGATTCGGGGTCAGCTGGCAGAATTCATCATAAACTGCCAAAGCAGCATCAGCACAGAGGCATCAGAGCAAAAACCTCAACACACAGCTGGGAGGGACCATGGCAACGTATCTGCTTTTCCATGCAGGCTTTCCAAACGTGGGCACTTGGAACCTGCATGTAATAAATCCCTAGGACAGCTCATGTAGGGGTATCAAAGGAAGAGCAGCTTTCTAATTGGGAAGAGACTCTATCTGCAAGAGTCACCTCAGTTTGCTGTGGGATACAGCATAGGAAATTAGGTCCTGTAACAACAGATCCCTCATAATGACACCATCTTCTCTGCAGAGACTCACAGATTGTTTTCTCTCAAAAATACAGGGTCTCATTCTTCACAGTGATTTCTCTTTGGTACTTGGCATGGAGGGAATTTGCACCACTAGGACACTGGCAGCCCCTTTCCCTGCAGGATCTCCCTGATGCAGCAGGAGCAACCACAGGTGAGAGGGCCCAGGGAGGGGGTGAGCAGGCATCCTGGTCCTGGTTCCTGCCCAAGCAAGTGCCTCATCCTGAGGACCACCTTGGCTGCTGATTGAGAACTGACAGCTTTGTCCTGGATTCAGAGGAAAAAGGAGTTCTATCAGGAGCTCAGCCATTGCCCCGCACCAGCCTTTCTCCATCAGCTGGGATTTCTCCTCTCCTCACCACATGTGACCCTGGAAAATCTAGGGCACCTCACAGTCTCAAGGGGCACTTGGATGCAGCCCCCCACTAGGCTGCTTTCTAGCAACTTGCCATCAGCTTTTACACCTTTTGATTTGTTTCCCTGCCCTGCAGATCACCCTGAGGCCTCACTTCTGCATTTCTTCACCCATTCAGATGCCTGTTCTCTAGGTCTCTGAATACACAAACTCTGTGCAGCTCTGGAAAACTGCCCTCCAGAGCTGGAGAAATCTCAGTTTCAGGAAGGGAAAAGACTTCCATGTGCAATGATAAGAGAAGCATTTTAAGCTGCCAGTCACTGGCAGTGCCTGCTGAAACAAGGTGACATCATGGCCTGAAGAACTCCAAGAGCACTCTCTGGTGAAGCTGTTTGCTCTCAACTAAAAACGAGCACACCCCTCTCTGCCCGCTGGGGAAGACACCCCAGCTGCTGTGAAGTCCTGCCCTGCCTGTGGTCAGGAGGCTTTGGAAATGTTGGACACTAGTGGAGGATGGTGGCTCCAAAGGCACTTGTGGTGCTGGCGGGAGGCCCCTGTTGGGAGGGGGCAGGAGGAGCTGCAGGAGGACATAGGAGATGAGCAGGAAAGCTGTGAAGGTGCCTGGCAGATCTTCCTATGATCCCTTATTTCTGGAATGGGGAGCTCCTACATTAGAAGAAAAGAGAAGGTTGGCACCGTGTGTTTATGTTGCAATTTTCATCCTCCTCATTTTCTTAGGATGGAGAAAGACTGCTCTGCTTTCCAGACCTGATCAGCAGGAGACAGGCATTAAATGATAATCTGATACTTAACCTGCGCTATTTGTTACTCTTTTGGCTCATGGCTCCAGGAGAAGCAAAGAACAGTGTTTCTGCCTGAAATCTTACCCATGCTTCAGTACAAGCAGAGGATAATCTCCAGAGGTGGGATTCTGGCACAACCCACCCAGTATTCGCATCCCTGGGCATGGGGAAAGCAGCACAGTTCTTACGAATTTCAAGCAGAGCCTTCTGCTATTTTCCCAAAAGTTCTTCTCAGTACTTTTTTTGTTTGCAATAGGAAAATCATCTCCACATTAATCAATTAATAAGCAGTGGTGGCGAGAGCTTGTGCTGGTGGCAGCTCTCAGCTAAGTGTGGTGGGTTGCACAGATTTGTGACT